GAGTGCAGTGGATTTCTAACTGGTGGTCAACTTGTTACACCCTGCAGAACTGAGCTAGCGTGGTGCTGGGTGTGGGAGGCCCAGCTGAGGGTGGTCGCCTGCAGCCTCAGAGGCGGAACTGGGGGAGCTGCAGGGAGGCTGCTTGGAGAAGCTGTCGGAAGCTGCTGGCTCTCTTGGGCTGTTCTGCAGGAGGACCTCGTCATGTTGGTTTTCCTGATGAACTTGGATGTTCTTGTTGCAGGAGGAGCTCAGGATCTCGATGTCGCTGAGGATGGCTGCAGTTCATTTTGGGGGTGCTCTGGTCCTTACCTTGAACATCACTTCCTGGCTCTGGAGGGGAAGATGGTGCTCCGCTCAGCCTTGTGGAGAAGCTTGTCACATTGGCTTTCCTGATGGGAACTCGGCTGTCCTCACCTCTGGAGGAGCTCGGGACCTCGCTGTCGCTGAGGACGGCTGTGGTACTTTGGGGCCGCTCTGGGGCTTACCATGAGTGCTGCTTCCTGGCCCCAGGGCAGACCCCTCAGCTGCTGGCACGGGCCCTCCATCCCGCTGGCACAGACTTCCTCGCTTCCACGCCTGACCCTGGGGCCTTCCCAGCACAGAGCCGTGAAGTGGGCCTGCAGGAGGCCTTGCCGTGGGCTCTAGGTCTCCAGGTGCACTTGTGGGAGGCCCTGGTATGAGCTCTAGGTCTGCAGCTGGATTCACACAGGATATTAGGATCCAGGCCTCAGCTGGAGTCTTTGGTTTTTAGTGTGTAGACAGGCTTCCTACACTTGTATGTGAGTCTTTGGATGATTCATTATGAAATAGTATAAAATGTGTCCTGTCCTGTATTCCTCTTGCAAAGCCCCCAGCATGACAGGGAGACAAGAGGACGGCCCTCTTGTGGGCAGAGTCCGCGCTCGCCGGCTCCCGTCGTGCTCGCCACTGTCCGCCACCGTCAGCTTCTGCTCATTCTCTGCGGGGCTGGGAGCCGAGGTCCAGAACTGAGGCGTCTGGGCTGGAGTCTGGGCACGCTCATTCACACTCTGCACACACCTCTCCCTCACTTGTGACAGGAGAGCAGCACAACGGGACACACACTTCAGGGTCTACTCCACTGACTTTGCCTCAGTTTCCTTCTGCACCGGCACGCGTAGTTAGCTGACTCCAATCTTGTTTCTAAGGCAACAAAACAAAAGCCTCTGCTGACAGGAGGAAGGGCAGGGCAGGCGGGGACAGCAAGCAAATGGGCTGTCATGGCAGACTCACTCTGTAGAAAGCGCCGTGACCAATGATCCACGGCAGGGCTCTCCAGCTGGCCAGGAGGGAGCTACTCCCCAGAGAATGCTTCTGCAGGACTCACTTGTGCCACATGTGGCACTGGGGATTAAGTCCCCGACGCCTCAACTGTGGGACCCGAACACTGAACTACAGCCGCCGCGCCAGCCTTTCATGGGATTCTGTTCTAATAACCTCCACGTGTCTGGAAGCTTCCACCATGGCTGACCCGTGGTTAAAGTGTTTAGCGATTCATTTAGCCTCCTTGTTGACTAATTAACAAGCCTCTATGCACTAAGCAGCTGGATTTATCAAGCCATAAACTGCTTTTTAGACTGGAGATTAAACCAGGGCTTTGTGCTGTGTTACAGCCCGTCCTTTTTCTGTTTTTTTTTTTTTTTTTTTTTTTTTTTTTTTTTTGTTGTTTTACAGGGGCTCCCTGAGGCACTAAATTGCTCAAGCTGGATCTGACTTTCCAACCCTCCTGCCTCAGCCTCCTGTAGTGATGGGATTATAGGAGGGTGCCACGGTGGCTGGACATGAGTGTCTTATTTTTTGTCTTTTTGAGACAGGGTCTCCACCGTGCAGTTCAGGCTGGCCTTGAGCTCACTGTGTAGCCCAGGCTGGTCTCGAACTCACAGTGATCCTCCTGCCTCAGCCTGCTGAGTGCTGGGATTACAGATGTGCGTCACCAAGCCCAGGTCTGCCTAGGAATGCTTTCTTGTACAACTATTGCTGTCCGGGCTTCCCAGGGAGGGAGGTGCTTCATGAGAAGATGGTTTTGCTGTCCGGGCTTCCCAGGGAGGAAGGTGCTTCATAAGAAGATGCTTTGGGTGCATACTACGTGGCTTTAGGCTTAGACAGACGTGAGAGCATTTGTAGTGATGCGGTCCCATGCTGTCAACCCTCAAGAGCGCCTGGCAGTGCAAGACCCGGAAAGCTTTTGTCAGGAGCAGCCTGTCCATAGGCATTTACTGCCTGAGACGTTTAAATCAAGAAACCATTTACATGTATTAATCTTAAAAGAGCAACAAACTCACTACATGTTAAACATTTTTATTCAAAACAACCATATTTTCCCGAAAGGTTTAGTGAGAAAGGTGACACTAGTCCACACAGTTCTGGTTTCTAGAACTTTCTAGATGGTTTGATAGAAGGCCGCTCGCTTCTCCTTTCTGCCTCTGTGCTCAGCTGCTGGACATCATATCCTACGGCCACTGGAAAACGCCCCTGGGTGTCTGTGACCTCCCGAGGAAAAAGTGAAGCACCCTCGGGCACTCTGGAGAGTGCTCTGTGCATCGTGGTGCTTGGATGGAGTCCCCTTCCTCAGATGAGAATATGGAGGCTCAGAACAGTTATCTGCACAACCGGGAGCAGAGCTAAGGAGGAGACCTTGGGCTGAGAGGAGGGGAGGAGGGCGGGGAGGGCGGGAGGAGGGAGAGGGAGAGAGGAGGAAGGAGGAGGGAGAGGGAAGATGGATGGAGGGAGGGAGGGGAGGGCCATGTCCCTCTGAATCCATCAGAAAGGCTTGAGCTTAGTACAACCTAACACAAGCTCTGTGGCTCACAGTTAACTGGAAGGAACGCGTCGCTTAGGAAGGAGGAGCCAACACCTACCCGCATCCCCCAGGCCTTCTGCCCCGGCGCTAGCTCATTTCATCTTTATGTACCTTATGTAGTGCTCCACAGAGGGCCTGTTGCCTGCCTGTCTGCACAGGGGTCTTTTTTTTTTTCAAAATTTTATTGATAAACCGATAGCAATGAGACAGTTTCAAATCAAATTGGAAGTACAGATTCAACAAATAACACACTGCATATATTCTTCTTAGTGGTTAATTGCTGTACAAGATGCGGACTTGAGATCCTATTTACAAACACCATTAGAACAAATCATTCTATTCATTAAGAGAATGCAACTATATAACTTGAGATCCTATTTACAAACACCATTAGAACAAATCATTCTATTCATTAAGAGAATGCAACTATATCGTTATTGAATATTATAGGTGTGTAAACTCAGTAAAATATTCTAAAAGAGTCCAGTAGCCCATAATAGCATTGGGTCTTCTGTTTAACTGGCAATGTCAGAAATTATTGACCTGAGTCCCCCACAGCTCAACATAACAACATGGCTTTACTTCCTATATTTCGTCTTCATACTTTTCTACTGGATGGTTAAGACCAAGGTAAAGCAGGACCTATGCAACAAGAGTTGTAGCTTTTGGGTCTGAGAAGGTCAGTGAAATGCCCTCAGGATTTATGCTGAGATCCTGTACCTCAGATTGTAGAACCTTTGTCAGTGTCAGCCATGTGGATGAGTCACGGCCATTGCTTGGCCAATTGCACAGGGGTCTTTCGAGGCTGCGCATGCGATCCTCCCGCTGCTGGCTGTGGGGCTGGGCTCCCATGTGGGCATGGCCATGTCCTTCCTCCCCATTCTTTACAGCACCAGCGGGAACATCTGAAGAGCAATCAGCAGAATTCTTGGGGTGACAAGCCCTAGCCCAGGAGACCACAGACTAACAATCGCAAGGCTTAGCAGAACTTTTCTAGAACATTCCGGGGGAGGGCGAACTTGAGACAGGGGCTCTCTATGTAGTTCAGGCTGGCTTAGAAATCACTGTGTATCCCAGGCTGGCCTACAACTCGAAGTGATCCTCCTGCCTCAGCCTCCCAGAGGTACACCCCCAGTGCTAGGCTTTAAAACATTCTTTCTTAGCTGGATCTGACTACAGCTGTCCCTTCAGTGCTTTCCTGTCACCTTGGGGCTCCCAGCCCCACCTTGTTGATTGGAAGTTTTCCCTGGAGACCCATGGAACGCACCTGAGTTCATCAGGATTGGAGTCGGGGGGGGGGGGCAGAATGAACCTTCTGTGGCATCGACCGCCCGTCCTGGCAGTAGTTGTGGGGTCCTCTGAATGCAACCCACCCTGTCCAACCCATCTGCAAGCCCAGCTCTTTCTCCTGTAAGTCTCCCTCAGGGCAGGCTCTGGTCCCGAGGGTCCCGTTCACTGCGCCAGCTCACCTGCCAGGTCTCTGGTCACCCGGGCCACCCTAGGTCCTTCCGGGTGCATCTCTAAGCCCACCTCAGCTGCCCTGCTGTGCCCCAGAGCTGCCTGACCTGGGTTTGAACCCTGGCTCTGGTGCCTGAGTCCCTTTCCAGCCAGCAGCTGTCCCTCAGGGCCATAGTGTCCAGCGTGGCCCCACTTCTCACTGAATTTATTTCAAGTCTCTTGATATGCAGTTACTAGTTACTCTTAAAAATGTTTGGGTGCTCTGAGCACCCGAGAAAATCTTCAGAGGTGTCTTTGGTACTTATGTGGGCCGCTGGCCATGGCCAGGACCCTCCTGGCAGAGTTTCTGGACTCCAGAGTCCTCATCCCCTGCCACGGCTGAGTGGCTGAGAAGGCTGAACAACCCCGTCACTGTGCAGTCCCTCCCGGCACTTTCCCTTTATCCCCTGCAGCCGGCCAGCGGCTCTCCTCCCCCTCCTCCCCCTGTCCCGCTGTCCGGCAGCTGAGCCTGCCGCGGTGTGGAGGAGGAGGGACAGGAGGTTGGTGTCTGGGTGACAGTGCCTCCCCCACCGTACAGGCCACGGCCCGCAGCAGGCGACAGCCGCAGAGCACAGGCTCGTGGGGCCGGCCACCTTCCCCGTGCGGACCTGCACAGAGTTCAAGGGTCCCAGGGCAACCAGCCATGCTTCCTTGAATTCCCACTGGTGCAGCTGAGGCTGGAGTTTGGAGTTTGACCTACAGGAAGGCTCTCCTGAAGCAGGCACCCAGGGCCGAGGGCCACCACTGTCCTTGGACGCGCTCTGCCGCACAGGAGAGAGCCCGGGGTCTCCCTGCTTAGAGTCTCCTCAGCCTGTTCCCACCCCTGCACGCCCTCTGTGGACCTTGAGGCAGTTGCTCCTGTACCTGGGACAAGGTAAGAGCCTCCTGCCCCTGCCAGTGGTACTCTCCACACTGGGCAGCCATGCTGACCTGGGCACCGGGCCTTGGCCTCCCCGCAGGGCAGCTCGTCCTGCTCCAGGTGAAGTGTGGCCTGCGGGGGGAGCCGGAGAGGGGATCTTCGGCAGGTGGCAGTGGCAGGTGTGGGTCGCGCCAGGTGTGGGTCTCAGCTCTGGCCCAACCAAGTTCAAGGACATTTGTGTCTTGAACACTGGAGCCTCAGTTCCTTGTCCCCAGGTGAGACTGTGAACCTCAGCCGGCCCCGCCCCTGCCCACAGGTGTGGTGCGGCAGGACCCAGGGCGACAAGAAGTGACCTTATCTAAAGAAGTTGCAAAAAGCCTGCTCACTCACGTGCTGGTAGCCACCAGGAAAACCGGTATTGATTTGTTTGTTGTTTTTGCGGATTTGGGAAATCAAAACCAGGGCCCTGTGAATGCCAGGCCGGAGCTCTGCCACTGAGCCACACCCCCAGATCTCCTGTCACTGGCCCAGTCACCCCCAATTCACAGACAAGCCCAGGGTAGCACATTAGGAGCCACAAAGCTGAGCCTGGTGGCCCTGAGTCTGTCTGCAAGCACAGTGTTTTTCAGGTGTGCTTCGTGAATGACCCGGAGGGGCAGCAGGCGGAGGATGCATCCTGCAGAGAGTGTCCTAGAGCCCATGCAGCCCTCCGTGGAAGCCCCGGTTGGGGGGGGGGCAGCTGTCCACAGCGCCAGCGTGTGTAGGGGGTCTTTCCAGGGAGGAAATTCTTTTTTTTTTTTTAAATAATTGATATGACATTAGAAGCAGTAAGCATTTATTTATTTTTTTCATTTTTTCCATAATTTTATTGAGAAACAAATAGCAATGGACAGTTTCAAACCAAATTGGTAGGGCAGTTTCAATAATTAACACATTGCATACATTCTTCCTAGTGGTTAATTGCTGTACAAGATGCAGACATGATATCCTACTTACATACACCATTAGAACAAATCCCTCTATTCATTAAGAGAATGTAACTATATATCTATCCTAACCACTTTGAATACACAAATACAAAATGGACACTCATCTGTATCCCCTTTTTTTCTTAAGTTCCGTTATTTGAATATTATAGGTGTGTAAACTCAGCAAAATATTCTAAAAGAGTCCGATAGCCCGTAATAGTATTGGGTCTTCCGCTTGACTGGCAATGTCAGAAATTGTTGACCTGAGTCCCCTACAGCTCAACATAACAGCATGGCTTTACTTCTTATATTTCATTTTTATACTTTTCTACTGGATGGTTAAGACCAAGGTAAAGCAGGACTTGTGCAACAAGAGTTGTAGCTTTTGGGTCTGAGAAGGTCAGTGAAATCCCCTCAGGATTTATCCTGAGATCCTGTACCTCAGATTGTAGAACCTTTGTCAGTGTCAGCCATGTGGATGAGTCACGGCCATTGCTTGGCCAATGTGCTCTCTGTGAAAGCCTGAGAGAAGGTTTTCTCTCCATGTGACTCTCCTTAGGCACATTCTACATCATCGATCACTTTCCTCTTTGGCCCCATAATCTCCTTGATCAGAAAATTTGGGACACTACCAAGTTACATGACGTTACAGTACAAGTTCTCATATGTCCTGAGTCTTAATTGACCTTGGAAGGCTAGGGCCTATTTATTATTATTATTATTATTTTTATTTTTGCGGAACTGGGGATTGAACTCAGGCCCTTGCGCTTGCCAGGGAAGTGCTTATTCCACTGAGCCATTTCCCCAGACCCAAGGAGGAAATTCTACAAGCTGAATGTGTTGTTTCATGATGTGCTTTCTGTGAAGCTAAATGGCTCAGGGAGGCAACGAGACCAAGACGGGGTGAAGGCCAGCATTAAACCAATGGGCAGTCTGTCGAGTAAGGTATAGGGAGGCACATCCCAGGCATAGGCCACAGAATGGCCAGGCCCCCGCAGCCAGAGGTGGCCTGCAAGGACGAGGAGGCCAGACAGGGAGTGTGTCACGCATGAGGCCGTACCTCACATCTCCTGTCACCAGCACCCACAGCTCTGAGGACAGCTCAGATGTGCCGAACAAGGAAATGGTCTGATCCGGTTTAGCCCAGCTGTCTCTGGTTTCTTTTTCAGACAGGGTCTCAGGCTAGGCTTGAGCTCACTTTGTAGCCCAGGCTGGCCTCAAACTCACAATGCTCCTCCTGCCTCAGCCTCCCGAGTGCTGGCATTACAGGTTCATGCTAGCATGCCTGGCGTGAGGGGTACATTTAAAGAAAATAAAACCCACAATGAATATGGAGATACTAAGTCCTTGCTCTGGGCTGGAGAGTCAAGGGGACAGAAGTAGAGGTGAGGGAAAGCGAACGGCCTCAAGGGACTGCTTGGAAGAGGAAGAGAGGGCAAGGAGGGGCGGACAGACTCCAGGAGCTAAGAAGAGGGGCCCTGCAGGGTCTGATGGTGCATTTACACTCTGCGGCATTTTGGGTGCTTAGAGATAGTGGTCACAGACTGCTTGTCCAACGGATGGACTCGTGGATGGACGCACAGGTGGACAGACGGCTTGAGGGTGGCTCTGGGCTTTTGTGGGTGAGTGATGGCCTTGTAGCTGGTGCAGAAGGGACGGGAGCCCCTGCATGGCGCTGAGCGGGGCTTCTGACTTGCACATGCTGAGCTCGAGCTCTTTATCAGGTATCTGTGAGGGACACAAAGATAGCATCCGGATGACAGGTCTCGGCTCCAGGCGCGGTCATCCTGGAGCAATGATGGGGTGCAGGGGAGGCTCCCCGGGCCCCCGCATTCGCTGGGCTCACCCACAGCTCTGAGAAGCTGCCTAGAACCGATTGCTTCATTCCTGTGTCTGGGGCTCTTCCCAAGAGTCTCCTCAGGCCTGGAGTCTGTCTCTCGCCACTGTTTGAAGACCTGTTGTCTTGTTGCTGTTTGCAGTGCGCGGTGGTCTCCACGATCGCAGGGAGTGGGAGTGGGACAACTCAGGTCTGTGTATAGCCTTCGTCTCCCTTTCCTCCCCTTCTTCCCATTTGCAAACAATCCCATTCCCCGTTTCCTCTCATCTGTCTTTTTTTTTTTCCCCCTTTAGTTATGTTTTGGGTTTCTCAGCTAAGAGAAATCCCGTGAAACCAGCTTGCATGACTGCTTTATTCCGCTTCACATTTTGGTCTTAAGTTGTGCCCATAAATACAAATAAACTTACCTTTTAATCCTTCTTTATAGCAGAGTAATACTCCACGGCATATAAACACCATTTTCTTTTTATCTTTCACCCTAGGGTAGACACATAGGCTGCTCCCAAGATTTATTTTGAATTGTGCTGCTAGAAAATATACTGCCACTGTGGCACGGGCTTTAGCTTCAGGGGCACGTAGGAGGGGAATAGCTGGGTCAGGCAGAGTTTCCATATCTGGTTTTTGAGGACTCTCCATACTGATTTCCAGTGCTAGTTTGCTTTCCCACCAACGACGGAGTCTAATTATTATCCCCATTATATAGATGGCAAAACTGACCCTCATGAGTTTTCTGGTCAAGATTACAGAGGCTGAAAGATGTAGGGCTGGGATTTTCCAGGCAGCGTGATGCACGCCTGTAATTCCAGTGCTTGGGAAACTGAGGCAGGAGAGTTGCCACAAGCTCGAGGCTGGCTAGGACTACATAGTGAGCTCAAGTCCAGCTTGAACTGCTTGCTGAGGCCCTATCTCAACAAAGAAGGAGCGGGTAGAGGGAGAGGGACAGGAGGGAAGAAAGTCCCCAGTGGAGTTCCTGCCGGCCACCGGATACGGCACTGCTGTATCTGTGTATCTGATGCATGCGGCTGGTACTACGCTGAGTGGTACTACGCTGAGTGGTACTACGCTGAGTGGTACTACGCTGAGTGGTACTACGCTGAGTGCCATCTCCTGGTTTTGTTCTCTTTTTATTCACAATGAAATGTTTCCGAGGCACCAGTGCCACAAACCCCAGTGCCCTCCTGCCAGGGGGCACACAGGAGCTGGCAAAGGCCAACCTGAGCCGCAGCTCCATGGCCTGTGGCCGGTGGACCTGTTTTCCTTATTCTTTTCCTTACGCTGTGGTGTGGAAAATTTTCACATCTCCCAAAGCAAAAGGCCAAAGGAAGGGGGGACACTGTCCCTGCCTGACTGAGCTTCCTTTTGTGCTGTGGCCAATGGGCAACCTCCAGGACACACAAAGCCTTTGTCACCACACCGCTGCCCTTAAGCGCCCCGCCCCCAGCCCAGAGTGGGCAGGGACCAGGACCTCGGGAGGAGGTGCAGCCCACCCACAGGGCAGCTGGGAGGCATCCAGGCAGGGGGCAAAGGTGCGGGGCTGTTCTGGGCACACACAGCACTAGAAGGGCAGGGCCGGCAACCTGAGCCGAGGGCAGCAGGGCTGCACAGAGCTGGGCTCACAGCTGGGGCCTCCTGCTGGCTCCGCTGAGGCTCCAAAGCGCAGCACAGCCGGCACACAGCTGGTGCCAACTAGACACTCATGGAGAAGAAGCAGAGAGGGAGGAGGGCAGGAGGAAAGGGAGACAGAGCCGCTATACAGGGAACACGGCCCAGCCCTGGGTTCAAATCCCACCTCTGGCTCTTCTGTGGCCTGCTAGTGGCAAGCCAGGCCTCAACCAGGTCACTTAAGGTGTGACACATGTGTCTCAGGGCAGGGGAGGGGCAGGAAGAGGAATGTTAACGTGCGCGCCCTGCCTGGCACCTGTGCTCACGAACTTGGTGTGCAGGACTGTCCCACCCACAGTGTGCCCCCAAGGGGCACCTGCGTCGGACAAAGGCCCAGGGAGGCCCCTCTTCCTGGCCCCCGGATGCAGGCATCGCTCCTGCCTGCTTGCCTCAGGCTCCACTTTCCTGCGGCTCGGAAGCGCTCAGAAGCGGTGCCAACCTCCCCCCAGCTGCGGCCCGCGCGGTGATGAATAACTTGTTTATCTTGGGCAGTGGCTCCCACCCCTCTCGGTGCCTGGCAGGCCCGGGGCTGTCTGGGCGTGGGGCGGGGACAGGGCTGGGAGGGTAGGTCACTGCCCTGCATCTGCCGACATTCCCTGTTTTGGGAGTAGTCGCAGGTTGTAGTGTTTCGAAATTTACGTTTTCATTCTTGGGAACCACTGGCCACCAGCAGGTAGAAGCCAGAGAGGCCAGGCAGCTTGGACTGCCCAGAAAGGCCCCGCACGGAAAGTCTTCCCGGTGTCCCCTGTGGGGCCCCTGGCCCCATGGGCTCCAGGAGAGCTGTCACGCCCTGAGCCTGGGGCCTGTCTCCAGCTTACAAGAACCCCCGTGAATAACCCACGTCAGGGCTATTAACCCCCAGCAATCTGTATTTGCTCTTCAGGTGCACAAAAATTGCCTCAAATCCTGCTCAGAGGACCCTCTCTCAAGTCAGAGGGGTGCTCTACTTCACGGTCGTTCGGTCTTCATAATATCTAAAACCACAGAGCACGTTTGTACCTGCAGACAGTAGGTGTGGATTGCGTCCCATTCTGATGTTCCCCTCTGAAGTGTTTGGCATTGTGTTTAGAGCCAGTATCTCGCGAGGTCTCCAGGCTGGATTTGAGCTAAAAACTCCGATGCCTTGGTCTCCTGAGCAGACCTGACATTACAGGCATGCGCCAGTGTCCAGCCCTCTGTAAAATCTGCTTAGAGATAGTCTTTTTTCTTTCTTTCTTTTCTGAAATGGAGTTAAGAGTCTCACTAAATTTCCCGAACTGAGGAGCACTGTGCCTCAGCCCCCACATAACTGAGTTGTAGGCATGGGCTACTGCACCGGGCGGAGAGCTCCAATAATTGTTCTTTAATGATCCTGCACTTCTGGAACGGAGTGGCTTCTTGTTTTATTCTTCTTAAATCCAGAGCTCATTCTGTACAGTGATTGGAAGTGTCACATCCCGTGGCTGTCCTGGTGCCAGCAGGTCTTTAGCATGAATTAATCTCGTTTTATCTCTCTTTTTATTTTTTTTTATTTTTGTGGAGGGACTAGGGATTGAACTCAGGCCCCTGCACTTGCCAGGCAAGTGCTTATTCCACTGAGCCATCTCCCTGGCCCTTTATTTCTCTTTTATACAACAGCTGAAGAGCTGTATTTATTAATTATATGTAAATAACACTACCTAGGAATTTGCCTTTATTTATTTATGTTTTTGTACCAGGTATCAAACTCAGGACCTTGTGCTTGCCAGGCAGACGCTTATGCCACACTGAGCCATCTCCCCGGCTAGAATTTCCCTTTAGCACTTAGTGAAAAGGAGTTACAGGGCCGGGGAGATAGCTCAGTGGAATAAGCACTTGCCTGGCAAGTGCAAGGCCCTGAGTTCAATCCCCAGTACCACACACACACACACACACACACACACACACACACAAAGACTTACTAAACATTTGTCATGAAAACAGAGCATGACACCTGACAGGTTGAGACCTATAACCAGTGAATGCTGTCACAGGGCCAGATGCATCAGGCTTCTTGTGTCTAGCCTCCTGTCTCCCCCCTCTAGCCTCACTTAATGACCAGGCAAGAATCGAGAGGCCCCTTAAATATGTTTTTCGCACCTTGTGCCTGTGTGCAGCTTCTTGGACCTCCCATCCTCGGAAGACCCTACCCATCTTTTACACCTGGCTTGTACCCCCCTTCTGGATTCCTCCCTGTGAGGCCACAGGACCCCTCCCTCCTGTACCTCACAGCAGACATGGACATGTACTCAGAGATGAAATATGGTAGTGGGCCCACAGTATGCCGAGTGCTATCTTGGGGCAAGCATTGGGCAGGCTCAGCACGTCCAAGCAAGAGGTTGCAGCACTCTACGGCACGTGAACCCAGACTGCGCCATTCTGTAGAGCTGAAGGAATTTGTCCAGACTCTCAGAACCGATGTGGCCTGGAGCCTGCTGGGGGACTCCAGAGGTTGAATTCCTAACAACTCTAACTATGCACCTGCACTATGTAGAACAGCGCACTGGGTTGGTATTGTCCACAAGCAGGTTGTCCCATGTCGGCGCTGTGTGTCAGGGAGGGTGGGGCTGGAGTCTCCTCATCCCTGAACCCCTGGGCTGACACACAATGGGATACCAAGTCGATGCTCTCATCACTTACGATAAAAGTGATTGTTTGTGATTATATTCGTTTCTTGCTGCTGTAAATAACTGCACAAACTCAGTGGCTCAGGTAACACAAATTTCTCTATCCTTCAGTTCCAGAGATCGGTGGCTCTAAGTGGCTCTTCCTGGGCTAAAACCAAGGTAGCAGCAGGGCTGAATTTCCCCTGAATGCTATGAGTTTGCCTGCTGGCTTCTGGAAGCTGCTTGATCCTTGGGGCGAGGGCTCCATCCCCCATTTCCAACCAGCAGGGCTCAGCCAGCTCCTGCCCTTGCTGCCTTTCTTCTGGTTCTCTCTTCAGATCATTTTCTGTGGTAACTGCACTAGATCCACCTGGGTCACCTAGCTAGTTCTGTGCTTTTGCTTTTTGTTTTGTCCTGTCTAGGGTATGGAGGCCTCCACAGTGAACTACATCCCCAGCCCCTTTTCTTGGAGACAGGCTCCCCCTAAGTTGTTAAGTTGTTCAGGTTGGGCTTGAGCTTGTGTTGAGTCCTCTCGCCTCACCCTCCCAGGGCTGCTGTGCCCCGCCAGCCTCTCCTTGCTTTAAGCTCAGCTTGCATCTGGGCAGCTCCCTAGTTTTAGGGTTAGCTGACTAGAACCCTATTTTTATCTGCAAATGTCTGTGCCTTTTCTATGTAATGACATACAAGTGTGGAGGGTTAGATGTGAACATCCTGAGAGCTGCCATTCTGCCTACCACAGGAATCTCTTACGTTACCCAGGCAAGTGCCGTATGCTGAGAAGGAGCTTAGGAAAAGGTTCAGAGCATGGATGCTGGAGCAAGATCATTTGGGTTCGAATCCCAGCCTCATTTTAGTCAAGCTACCTAACTTCCCTGTGCTTTTACTTCACCATCTAGTAAAGGATGATTGTCACAACAGTGCCCACTCTGCAGGGTAGGAGACACTTAGAGTAATCCTGGAATATAGGAGGTGTCACACAGCGGGGTGTGTGTGTGAAATATGTGTGATTTTATGGGTATATTCAGCACACAACATGTGCTGTGGTGTTTGATGAGCCTTCCTCAGGTGGGAGAGCCCTTAGAGACAGGAACCAATTCATGAATCTCTTCCTCTCACTCAGGTACATGGCTTTAGTAATTATAAAAGGATCCAGAAACCATCTGCCTACACTGTTTACCCAACTTCACAGTTTGCCAAATGAGTGGCTGGGTTAGTTAAAAAAAAATAAACATGAGTTGTGATTTCATTGTAGATATTTGCTGAATGAATGAGTGGATGAATGGATGGGTGGGTGGATGCGTGGATGGGTGGATAGGTGGATGGGTGGATGTGTGGGTGTGTCTATGTGTCTTCCTAAGGTCTGTCTGCCACACACCTCAGCATGGGGTCCTCCTCAGGTGCCTGACAGGCAGTTCCAGTCTGGCTAGAACCATGAGTCTGCCACCCGTTCTCTGAAGTGAGTGTTCATGCTTCCTAGGACCCAGAGGGCGAATTCAGGACCATGGAGAGCGGCGGCAGCCCTCAGCCTCCAACCTTGGATCCCCTGGAGCCCTTTCCCCAGAAGAACTTGGAGCCAGGTGACATCGCAGTGCTGGTCTTGTACTTCCTCTTTGTCCTAGCTGTTGGACTATGGGTAAGCCAGGCTGCGGGGGGTAGGTAGATGTCCAGAAGTAACTCCATTGTTTTAGAGATAAGATACTGAGAGAAGGCACTCGCACAAGACCATAGAGTGATCAGAATTTTCAAAATCAAAAAGATGCATTGGATGTGGACTATATGTCAGACATGGGGTGAGCATGTCACTTCTGTTATCCCCTGTAATTTACATAGGTCCCTCTTGGGGAGCCACTACCCCTATTATTCAAATTTAAAAAACAACAACTCACCTTCAAAGAATTTAAGTTCCAAGAGCAGGGATGCCGCTCAGTGCAGAGCACCCACCAGCTTGCCCGAGGGCCCGGATTCTGTCCTCAGGAACCTGTGCCTTACAAATAATTTTTAAAAAATTTTATTTTAATGTATTTGGTATAGGGTCTCACTATGCAGCTCAGACTCATAGTGATCCTCCTGTTGTAGCCTCCCCAGCACTGGGATTACAGGCATGTGCCACCATGCCTGGTCTTGGTGGCCTGCTTGGCACACCCTGGGCAGGGCTGGCACAGCATGTGGTACCGGGGATCTAACCCGGGTCCTTGCACTTGCCTAGGCAGGCACTTAAACTGCTGAGCTATCTCCATGGCCCCCCACAAATAATTTAAGTGCTTTATGTTAGAAGAGTTGAAATAGCAGTCACTCTTACTTTGAAGATTATGCTCTTTTCTTTTTAATGTAAAGAAAAAAATTGAAAGACAATACTGTCACAGGGTTCCAAAATACAGTACCATAGGATATGTAGTGTCAAATATTATTATTATTACCTTTGTGTCATTGTTCTTATAACTTATTAGCCAATCCCTGCTGAGGGATATTTGGCTTTTTTCCCCCACTTTTTCCTTGTGAAGGATATGATAAACAACTCCTATAAACTCATTATTTTGGAGTGTATGTATATCATTAGATAAATATCCTGTAGTGGGTTTATCAGGTTAAAGGCTTTTTAAAAATGTGTTTAGTACAGAGTCTACAGGGTCTCACTACACGGATTGGACTCACAGCGATCCTCCTGTTTTCAGCCTCCCGAGCACCAGGATTAAAGGTGTGTGCCACCATGCCCAGTCTCAATCACCATCTCAGCGTGGTCTGGAGGTGGGGCTGGCAGGGTATGCCCTGGATCGAACCCTGGTCCCTGCGTCTGCCTAAGCAGGTGCGTTAGTCCACTGAGCTATCTGGCCTGCCCTAGGTTAAAGGCTTTATGCTAGCTGCTGCCTGATTGCCCTCTTCAGATGCAGGACAAATCAGCATGCGGAACAGTGATGCATGACAAACCTATTTTTGTCACATCCTCGCCACCAGTGTTTTGTCACACTTTTTCAGTTTCGTCAAATATATGGGGGAAATAACATCTCAGTGTGTCGTTGGTAGACATCTCACGCTGCTTGAGGCTGGACAGCTGGGTTACTCCCATAGGTGACATGAGGTGTGATAGAAATGTATAGCGAATACTTAAATTTGTTTGAAACATTTAAGGCCAGGTGTGGTGACACGTGCCTATAATCCCAGCATTCAGGAGGCTGAGACAAGAGGATTGTTGTGAGTTCAAGGCCAGCCTGGGCTACAAAGTGAGCTTAAGGGCAACCCAAGCTGCATAGGAGACCCTGTCTCAAAAAGGCAAAACAAATTATTGTAGTGAAGCACACGTTCTCGTGAGTCCTCCTACAGTCCCCCTCACGCTGGCCTCTCTCCTCCCCTCACACTTGCTGCTTCTGAAGCGTCTCTGGAGTCCTCTTTCATGAGTGTCTCCAGGAAGGCTGATAAAAGGCCTGGTGACCGCTGGTGCCAGGGGCCATCCGATGACCAGGCCCTTCGGGCGTGCCAGTGGTTCTCACGCAATTATCCGCTGGGCCTGGCGACTCGGAGCTGCTGGCTCTTTCCCAAAGCCAAAGTGGCAATGAGAGATAGATGTTCAGAGTCTGTTCAGGACAGCACGGCAGCCGCAACAGGGCAAGCAAAGACATTCACAGACCTGAACTTTGAGAACGGCTGCAGAAAGGGGTGAGGATGACGGGATACGAGTTGGAAGCCAGGAGTGCGGAGAGTATTTGAGGAAAGTTAGTGGCAATGTGTCTTTTGTGCTGCAATGATTTTTTCTGAAAGTTAAAGATTCACCATATTCTTCACTCATACCTTGGGTGATGTATTTAAGAATTATTGAGATTTCTCCAAATATTTAGATGGAGCCAGCACTACAACAGCATCAGGGCATGAGGCATTGAGGAGACGATTAGGTGGGGAGCCTGGTGTGTACAACCGGGAGTCTCAGGAAAGAAGATGAGGGTGTTGGCAGCATGCCTTGCTCTGCCACTGCCCCACCGTAAAGGCTCCTGGGGCTCCATTTCCGTCTCTCCAAGTCACCGAGCCTAAAGGCCCTCCTCCTGGAGGTGGACTTCCCACCTCCAGACCTGGAGAAGTAATGTCTGGTGTTTGCAAGTCACTCGCAGGCAATTCACTCACTACCTGCACGAGAATGGACTAGGAGCACAGGACCCTGGGCCTGTCCACTGGTCAGACTGGCCCAGTAGGGGTTGGTGAACATTAAATGGAGCTAATGCCTATAAAATGCTTAGCAGAAGGTTGGGCCTGGTGGCACACACGCATAATCCCAACGCTCGGGAGGCTGAGGCAGGACGATCATTGTGGGTGCAAGATCAGCCTGGGCTACACAGTGAGCTCAAGGCCAGCCTGAACTTCATAGTGAGATCCTGTCTCAAAATGACAAAGATTATAAAATAAAAATAAAATGTTGATCACAATGCTGGGAATATAGGATATATCCAATAATGATACCCATCACGCAGTCTCATGGACGAGCCGTGAGTCTGAGGCTCAGGCACGTAGGAAGACCAAGGAGGTTTTCTCACATGTGTGAAGACAGTCGCATTCAAATTGTAGGGCCAGTCAAATAGCTCATGGGATTAAAGCACCTGCAAACAGGCGCAGGTGCCGGGGGCTCGATCCCCGGGGCCTGCCATGCTGGACCCACCCCCAGGGTGTACTGAGATGGCAATTGAGACTGGGCGTGGTGGTGGTGGCGTGCCTGTAATCTCAGCTCTTGGGCGCCTGTAAACAGGCGGATCGCTATGAGTCCGATATAGCAGTGAGACCCTGAACACTCTGTGGAGCCTTCCCTAAAATACAAAAAAAAAAAAAAAAAAAAAAAAAAAGTTGTCCTGAAGCCTACAGGTAAAGAAAATATATCAGACAGCCCAATCTGGCCCCCGGAGCTGCACCTCACCACCTGTCCCAATCCCTGCAAAGATGCCTCAGATTACAAACATTTACCCTCACCTCCTGTCTGCATTTCAGTCCACGGTGAAGACCAAAAGAGACACCGTGAAGGGCTACTTCCTGGCTGGAGGGGACATGGTGTGGTGGCCGGTAAGTGCTGTGAGGCTTGATTAAAGTCACTTCTTTGGGCTGGGCATGTGGCTCAGTGGTGGAGCGCTTGTCAGCTTCCGCAAGGAGGCTGGTGATGTCTGGCTTCAGTTCCCAGCACTGGAAGACACGTCAGTGCCTTAGCCCACTTCTGGACTCGGGTTCCAGGCTCCTTTCGACCACTTACTTCCCGCTGGCAAGGGGGGGCAGGGTGTTGCTAGGAGCTCTGCTAGTGAGGGCTGTAACATGTTTGTTGCTGGCGAGCAGCTAGCCCTCACCCGTCCCCTGTGCTGAGCAGCTTACAGAGCTCAGCGCGTTGTCCCTGAGGACGCCACAGGCCGGCCGCCTGGCTTGTCTGCTGTGCCCCTCGCAGTTCACTCACGCAGCCCATTTACTGGATGGCTAGGCTGGGATGCACGTTCAGGATGGCCTCATCCAGCCTGGGGGCAGCGGAAGGGACGGCTGAACCTCTGTGATCTCTCGGTCCGCCTCTAATCCTCTCTCGTCTCAGTGACTGTCCTGGTTGCTTTTTTGTCGTTGCTGAGGCAAAATACCTGGCACCCAAAATAAGCAAGGAAAGGTTCATGCAGCTCACAGTTTGGGGGGTGTCAGTACATAATCAGCTGGCTCCAGGGCACGGTGGTTTGTGGCGCAGGGGTGGCAGTTCATGGTGGCAGAAGACAGCAAAAGCAGCAGGAGCCCAAGGGTGGAGGTGGGGTAGCCTCTTTCCCTCCCTAATATGGTAAGCAGGCTCCCTGCCCCGGGGGGGCACATGGGCACATCTCCTGCCCTCCTCTTGCACCAGCCCAAGATGTCTATAAAGTGAGACCCTGGGCCCTGCTGAGTCCCTTAGCTAACCTTCTAAGCTTCTCAAGTTACACAATGCATCAACCATTCCAATGACCGCAGCCCAAGATTCCCTGTAAGGCAGCTGGTCCTGAGACACAGGGGGAGGCCACCAGGCTGTGGAGATTTGGGGTCAGAGGGTACACGGTGCCAGGCCCACCATGTTCTGTTTGCCAAAGTAAACCGCAGGCCAGCAGTGCCCTTGTGGACTAAGCAGACAGGCAGACATTGGCCAACTGCTGTAAAGCTCCAGGACCATCTACTCAGGCAAACGGATGAATCGCTGGCTGTTCACGCTGGCTCTTACCACGCTGGTGGCTTTCGCTCTACGAGTCCGCCGAGAAGCCACAGGAGAGGACAGAATAGGACAGGTGCGCCTTCACAGTCCTGTTCCTAAAGAATTGTCATGATTTTACTGACGTATACTTCCTGGCAAGCGCCACACCCTTTCCCTGGTCCCAACGCCCAGGGTCTGATTTGCAGCTATGAGCAAACCAACTCATGAGAAGGACAAAGTGGCAATTGTAGACTTAGTGCAGTCTGTGAGACAAAACGTCCCTTGGAGGGGCTCCCAGTAACGGGGTGTCAAAACATCTGGTGAATGTGCAGACAAGTGAGTGGAAATAATCATGCCTGAGGAACGAAAAGAACGAAAAAGAAAGAAAAAGAGCCTGCGGGCTGGGGGATAGCTCAGTAGAATAAGTGCTTACCTAACGAGCGCAGAGTCCTGAGTTCAGTCTCTGGCACTGAAAACAAAACAAAACAAAACAAAACAAAACAAAACAAAAACCCACTCACTTATATTTTCAATCCCTGGTTCCACCACAACAGAAACAAAAACAAACAAACAAAAAGAGCCTGAGAGTTGGGGGGGCATCTTCAAGTGTAACAACATGCATATTCCAGAAGAAAAGGGGGCACTATAAATAGTACAGAAGAAGCAATGGTCAGAAGCAACTACAGGGGTCGGGGGGGGGGGGGTGGCTCAGTAGAATAAGTGCTTGCCTGGCAAGTGTAAGGGCCTGAGTTCAATCCCCAGTTCTGAAAAAAAAAAAAAGCTAGCTACATTAGAGCAATAGTACTGATGTGCACACCCAGGCAGAGCAGACTTGGAGAGCTGCTCACCTGCACTGTAATCAGCTTACTGGAAAGACAAGTGAAGAAGGGCTTTTTGTTTATTTTTGTGGTACCAGGGATTGAACTCAGGACCTTGTGCTTGCCAGACTTATTCCACTGAGCCATCTCCCCAGCCCACAAAGAAGTTTTATTTTTTGGGTTTCTTTGAGTGTTTTGTTTTGTTTTGTTTTGTTTGAAGGGTCTACAGGGTGTTCAGGGTCTCACTACTAGATCGGACTTGTAGTGATCTGCCTGTTTACAGCCTCCCAAGAGCGGGGATTACAGGCGTACGCCACCATGCCCAGTCTCAATTGCCGGGTCAGCCCGCCCTGGAGGCGGGGCCAGCACAGCAGGCCCAGGGATTGAACCCCCGGCCCCTGCGCCTGTTTGCAGGCACTTTAATCTGCTGAGCTATTTGGCTTGCCCCCACAAAGAAGTTTCGAAAGCAGCAAGAGAGAAGTAATTTTTCACTTCTGAAAGTCTTCAGTGAGACTAATGCCAGAGTTCTCATCCCAGAAGTTGAACCATGAAGTACTTGGCCTGGAGTCCTCAAAGGAAACAGCTGCAGCCGACACTTCATACTGAGAAAATGATTCCTCAGAACTAAGTCAAGGAGAAACCTGGACCCCACCAGATCATGTTTTTGAAAATGAGGACCCATAACTGGATCTTTGTTGTAAGGAAGACTCATTCCAGCTGGAAGTGGGTGAACACCAGGGCATAACTTAGCTCTACGTGGAGAGCAGAGTTCTGGGCAAGGTAGCTCCAGAGGAAAATATAGTAGACAGTTAAATTATTTTTGACCTGGAATTTCTATTTTTGCTTGTCCTTCTTAAAAGACAGCTGCATGGCTGGGTGTGGCGGTGCATGTCTGCGGTCCCAGTGCTTGGAGGCTGAGGCAGCAGGACCATAGTGAGTTCAAGGCCAGCCTGAGCTACACAGCATGACCTTGTCTCAAACAAGGTCAAAATCAAAACAAAAAGGCAGTTGCATCAGTATACATACACTGAGTATGTATCTGTCATCAGGGTGAATAATATGTAAAGATGGCAGTACTCTTTTCATTGTTCTACAAATCAAAATCTTAGCTTTTTTCTTTGGCAAAAGTTGATAAGCTGTGCGGCTGGGGATGACAGCTCAGTGGCATTAGCACCTGCCTGGCAGGGTTCTGAGTCTGAGCCCCAGTACCACAAAAAAAAAAAAAAAAAAAAAAAAAAAGATAAGCTGATCCTAAAATTCATGTAGAAATAGCTCCCAGAAAGAGTCTTGAAAAAGAACAAACTCAGAAGATTCATATTTTTAGACTTCAAAACTTACTACAAACCTACAGTCATAAAGAGTGAGTGAGAGGGGAAGGCAGGCATAAGAGCCAGGGGCTGGAAGACAGATGGGAGGCCCAGGACATCCTGGGTCTCCTCCTCACTCCTGTTCTCTCTTCTTCTCTCTCCCTCTCCTTCCCCTCCTTTTCCTCCTCCGTCTCCTCTCCTCCTCCTCTACTCCCCTCCTCTCCTCTCTCCCCATTCTTCCTCCTCCCCCCTCCTCCTTCTCTCCTCCCTCTCCTTTCCTCTTTCCCTCTC